TTCCTCCACAACAGGATCATCATCATAACACCCAGCACAAAAAACAAGGTCCAGAGTTTGCCCAGCAGCATGGGTAGGGCCAGATGCCACTTGGGACAGACCCATGGTTGTCATATAGGCCATGAAGTCCTGAGCCACTGCTGAAACAGCAGTCTCAGCATGGATGTTGAAGTCCCCCAGCACTACTAAACAAGGAGACTCCAACACTAACTCCAAGACCTTGCAGACTAGCTCAGGAAGGGAGACTGTTGAGCAGTGGGGTGGGTGGTACACTAACAGAATCCCTATTCTGTCCCAGCCACCCACCTTTAAATAAATAGCCTCAAAACCTCTAGACTATGTGAGAGGGCATCTGGTCAAGGAGATTGAATCACAATATATCACTGCAACTCCACCTCCCCATCCCCCAGGTCTTACCTATTGCTGCACATAGAATTCTGGTGGGCAAAACTGAAAGAGATTAACCACCACCTCTAGCATCATCCAACCATATCTCTGTAAAACAGGCCAAGTCAGTGTGTTCCTCCAGGATCAGGTCCTGAATGGCAGCTGTTTCACCATTCACTGATCTAGCATTCAGCAGCAGTATTTTCAACCCAGGGGGGCTATTGAAAAGGCTATCCATACTATTTGGACTGGAAGACAATTTGGGGACAACAAGCATACTCTTGCGCTCCCCTCTTGGTATTTTAATTGTCTCCTTCCCTCCATATCTCCCTCTGCCCTGAATGAATCCAATGGCTGCTCCCTGAAGCTGTGTATCCCCTCCCTCTGGAAAATATTTTTTTGTATATTAAGCTGACAGGACAGTGGTTGTTAAAATAGTAGAACAAACAGACAGGTCTGTGACTTCTTCGACAAGTCTGAAGTCAAAGCATATGGAAACACTTTTATAGAATATAGCAATGTCCCTCCCCATAGTCTGGTGTCACACAATGATTGGTCCCAAATTCCCGTGCTTTGGTCATTCACATGATGTCATGTCCTACTGTCCGGAAAATCCAACAAACAACTGAGTGCATGTGAATTCATAGCTTCCAACCAACATTTGACAAAACAACCTTGAGCAACATCTGCAGTTTGTTGGTGCACTCTGTTTGTGTGATATGTAGCCTGAGACCAGAATCACATAGATATTAATACAATCACATACATGCATTCAACCCATTTACCAGCATAACATAATAAATCCTAAACCCATTACTTATCTAACTATCAAGCCATCTACCTATGCATGAATCACTTTATAACCCTCCTCCTTATATATCTAAACATGTTTTAAAACTCAAGCCTTTAGCTTCAGCCAAGGCAGGAGCATCCCAAACATTCCAAAAAGGCCTTTAAGTTCTCAGCTAGCACTTTTCTCCTTTGCAACTCATTAACCCCTATGGCACAACCTCCTGCTCCAACCCTCACAGGTAACCATATTTTAACAATCCCATCTCTTAATAAAATTCTATCAAAGCATATTCTGGCAGGAACACATTAAGCTAACACGTTCCTGACAGACAGACTGTATCTCCCTGTACGAACCAGCCCTGGCTCTGAGATCCTCAGGAGAGACCCTTCTCTCAGTCCCACCCCCATCACAAGCATGGTTGGTGGGGACACGAGAGAGGGTCTTCTCAGTGGCTGCTCCTAGACTCTGGAACTCCCTTCCCAAGGAGACAAGAATGTCCATTTTCTTGTTTTCCTTCTGCTGGCAGGTTAAGACATCTCTCTTCAGACAGGCTTTTAAAATGGAATGTTTGCAAATGATTGGCTTGAGATGTTGTTTCTTTCTAAAGTGCTTTAACCAATTTTATCTTTTTAAAAAGTATTTTATTTCTAATACCAATCTATTTTAATATTGTAATAATTTAATTATTTTTAATGAATCCCTTTTCTATGTTATTAAATGCTTTTTAAAATATTGTTGAACCACTCTGAGTCCCAGTTCTAGGAACAGAGCAGGATACAAACAACAACAACAACAACAACAAATGCTTTTTAAAAACTGGTGAAAAGGGGAGATATTTTACAACACAGCTTATTTTTTTTAAAAAAAGTCTGACACTAGTGGAGTGTTTTAGAGAAATATTTATTGCTAACAAAACAAACCAAGACTACCATCTCTGATTTTGGAACCTTTTGTGAATACACGCATGCACACGTGCACACACACACACACACACACACACACACAGAGTCAATTTTTTTCTACTTTTCTCCCTGGTATTAACCATGTTAAGTAAGCACATAACCATTCAAAAGTACCTAACTGAATTAAATTTGCCAGAATATTGCCACAAATATTCCTCATGTAGTTACTGTTTTGCATTTCTACTTCTCTGCATGGTAGTTAGCTTCAGGAAACAAATTTTTACAGGAATGGTTTCTTTATCAGGACTAAGTAGAAACCAATTGCTTTTCACAATATGAATTTTCATGATGGATGTGCAGATTTCAATGGAAAAAGCATATAGGCAATTGAATAAACAGGCCTTTTTTAAAAAAATAAAAAATCCTCATTTCCATCAGACAGAGTCTATGTGTGTGTTAGATCTGCCCCGATAAGTGTAGGCTACAGGGATAGTATGTATTTTCTCTCATTCCATTTTTAGCCTAGTAACATGCTTGTTTGTTGTTGCTGTTTGTTGTGTGCCTTCAAGTAATTATGAATTTATGGACACCCTAAGGCAATCTTATCACAGGGAAATTTTGACAAGATTTGTTAAGAGAAGGTTTTGGCTTTGCAATTCCACTGAAGCTGAGAAAGCATTACTTGTCCAAGGTCATCCAGTGGGTTTTCATGGCTTAACAGGGATTCAAACCCTAGTTTCCAGAGTTGTAGTCCAGTGCTCACACCACTACATCATACAGACTCTCAAACATATTTATTTAATTTGTTGCAATTTTCTAATATTCAGTTGAACTTCTCATTTTATTCAATTGAATTCACCCACAGTTGTGATTAAACAGGATCATCACTGATTGTCTCTATGTATGAACTATGTATCATCACTGATTGTCTCTGTGTATGAACTCATGATACATAGTTTTTTTAACCAGTCAACCCAATTCACACTTTCCAGGCTACTATGTGGCTCTTCTTTTAGAATATGGCTATACTAGAAA